GTTCTAGTAGAATTTCTGCTTTTCTTAAAGTACAAGGAAAAGTGTTTATTTTTAAGCTTTCAAGTTTGCTTTAAAATACTGAGGTGGTGTTGAGTCATATTCATCAATATATCCATGAACCGTTTCAGTTTTAAGAACTCCCCCCCATATATTTACACTATTTCTTGGGACACCCTTCGTTCTATGTCACTATTACGGGACCAGTCTTGTTCTGTTTATCATCATTGCCCAAGTGTACTAAGATTGCTCTTCTCTAACCATACCAGCACTAATGATGATCTGAAGTCATTTATGTGTGTGATTTTTAACATCTTTACAGACTTAAGCTCATGTTTCAGTAGGTTGGTGCTGACTCACTAGTAGTATTCATTCTTTTACTTGTTTTTATTAATGGAGTTGTGTCAGAGCCTATCAACCTCAAAAGAGATGATATTCATCACTTGTTTTCTATTTTGCTAGTCTTTCATTATCATCTTTAAAAAAAAGTTAATTTTGGCATACTTCAAAATTTGTAATTTCCTGATGAGCTCAACAACTCCACCCTTATTATTTTTAGTATGCAATTCTGCATGTACACTTTCCTTATACTTGTGAGCTGGGGATGTGGGTGAAAGGCAGCTGGAGCTACGAGTGAACACAAAAAAAGTGCCATTTTCCCCACCATTCCATGTTCGTCATCTGAAACAAGAACAAGGTTAAACAATACCTCGTTTTCTATTCTGAAAAGATAATTGCAACAACAATTTGGTTTTTGAATTTTATGTGATTATATTTTGTTTTTGAAATTATTTGATATGATTTCTTTGCAGTCTCAGAGAATTCATCACCTTTTTGTTTGTTTTTAAGCCAACATATGGTAAACAGCAATACTAGTTTTTGAAGCCAAGTGTTCAAATTCTAAATTCTTTTCACTATATTTGCTACAGCTCTTATTTTGGCTCTTATGATCTGTTCTCTACACGTTTTGCTTTTTATTTATGCTTTTTTTTTTTTTTTGCTAAACCTAGACTTTTCTGTAGCACACACTGAAGTCGATAACGTCAAACGTTAAATCTGTACTTCATTTTGCCACACTGAAGTGTTGCTCCACATGCCAACAGTGTTTTCTACTCCCAAAGGAAGCCTTTTAATTTTAGGACTGAAAGTCAACATTGTAAAGTTTACTAGTTAGGTAACTGCTTAGCTATGTTCCAGCCCATCTTTTTAATCCTAGAGAACTTTTCCTTTGGGGGCTTAAGTAAAGACACCCTAATCATCCTAGTCTTGTCATTGATAATCATATATTCACTACTGTTTCTTTTTACCTATACCTTTCTTTACATAAAAAAGGTGAACTTCAACAGCCATAGTAGGTTTAGGTGTTTTTTGTTGTTGTTGTTGTTTCTTTAATTTTTGCCAGAAGGTGTGTATGCTCACCAGAGAAAGGCAGAGAGAAAGGGAGGAGGAGAAAGCACTCCCCACCTCAATGGGCATAGTTGTGCTGCAATCTTTTCTCTATTTCTTCATGGTGTCAGGATTTGGGGAATGTATACATACATGTCTAGCATGGTTCTCAAACTGCTAAGGACAAAGATTCTAACCATCTGGTCAACCATGAGGAATCAGGCTCCATTAACACCTGGATCTTAACACTGGAGCCCAGTGTGTTTAATTTTCAGTAGCCATGTATTTTACTATAGTTCTGTGTATTTTGGAAAGGATATAAATATGGGAAAAGCACACAGCAATACCCAATTGCTATTAGCAAGTAACATACAACAAACATATAGAGAAATTTGAATTTTCTCTTCTAATTAGACTGCACAGTGAGATAGATTCACCTAACCTCACAACTATACCATTGGTTACAATGGGCTTACATCAGATAATATATAGTTTTCTCAGCACTATTGGAAAACTAACTTAATTGTCATGTTTCTACTAAGGAGTATGACACTAATTATAATACACAAAACAGTACTCTATGTAGCAACCAAAGGGGTAATGCTAAGACTATGTAACACTTGGAAGCAATAACTAATGTATATATCTATGACTTAAGGGAAGTGTCTGGTCTTCTATCTATCAGGGAAGCCTAGATCTACTATTAACATCCCAGCTGGCTGGCTGAGTGTTTTATCAGCCATCACCAATGATTCAGCCTAGCAGAATATGCCATCAACACTAAGTACTGGGAACAAAGCCAATTTGATTTGAAATGAAGCTATCACCTTTGCATAATAATTCTGATGGGTCAGACTTGTGTGAAGAACAGACACCAAAACCATATTATATATTGAGCTGAAACGGGAGTAAATAATATGTGACAAGAAAGCAAAAGAAAATCAGCAAATCTCTTGAACTGGAAAAAGCAAAACAAAAGTAGTCCAACCAATACCTTAATAATTCCCTGAGATGGTCTAAAGTAATGTGGAACTTTGTGGAACATACCAATTAGAAATGATTCTTTCCTCCATTACATTTGCAGGCCAGCATTAACTTACGACACACAAACAACTTGTGATTTCAAACTGACTGAAGTGACTTCCTTCACATGTATTCTAAGTGAACTATGACTCTACGAAGTCACTTTGGGCACTGTTGGGCTTTCATTCATAATTGTATGTGTATATACAGGGAAATGTTCAGAAGGTAGCAGCAAATTTATAAAAAAAAATAATAATACTTTCGTTAAAAGTATAGTCAGCATCATATGAAATATTCAAATTAAAAATATTGTTTCTAGGGGCCAACAGGTAGTGTGGAGGTTAAGGCGCTGGATCCCACATAGCTGATTCCATGAATGTGTCCTGGACCCACAGCTTGAAAATCTTGCATGCATGTCCAAAAGCCCAAGAGGAGAATGGAAGAGAAGGAACTGCGGTGTGGCCACCTCCTGCTGGGGGGTGATTTCTCACTTTCCTTCTCTCTTTCTCCAGTGAGCATATAAGCTCTATAGCAAAAAATAAAAAAAGTTAAAAATAAAACAAACAAACAACTTTCCAGATCCTGCCTTATTTTACTTTTTGTATGCAGGACAGCTTAAGATATATAAAAATTAACTCATGTGGGAATTAAGAGTAGAATTACTGACACACAGTTACTTTCTATCAGCGTCTGAATGAAAACATTTTAGCTACTTTGAAAATAGATGTTAAATTTAATAACTAAATAGCTAAAAAAAAAAACCAAGGCGTTAATACCTAGCTATCTAAAATACCAATGACTTATTTTTGAGTACCTTCATTCATAAGACAGTCTAACGTTAGGAAATAAATATGTTTAAAACATACTTCAGATTGCAAAGTAAGATGGATTATTACTAATGCTTATATTAGATGATTCACATACAGGAGAAACGAGCATCTATTACACATGAGCAAAAGAATGAGAACAGAAGTAGGACAAGACTCCATCCCTCAAAAGAGCTTATAACATATTAGGCACAGACATTAACAATTGTAGAATGTGGTTAGCACCATCACAAAACTGAAATGAAGAATCACAAAAGTTCATAGTCATAGGAGTAAAGCCCTAAAAAGACTGAGAGGATTATCAAGTATAAGAGAGAACTTCCGGGATGTTCTTGGAAGCGATGGCAGCGTAAGACAAAAAGGTAAGTTAGACTTGGCCCCAGATTTTCTGGCATGTTTGACTAGGAAAAAAGGCTGCACCATTAACAAAATTTCTCCAGGTGGAGAAGAGTGAAAATAGATTTCGTCTAGATTAAAATGTCAAGTAGGCAGTTGAATTTTGGTGTAGAAATTTGGGCCAGATACATAATGCAGAACATTAAGAGAAAATAAAAACCAAAATGATGAGATACCTACAGAAGAACGGGAAGCATTCTAGGGACAAAACTGAGCAGGTGCATGTTTAGCAGAGATGTTTTTAAATAAGAATTGTGACTACTCACAGTTATGGAAGAGGACAGCATCTTCAAAGGAGAGGAGACAGTCTAGGAAAGGTTGCTCTGTGGTATAAATGTTGCAGACAGAGAAGAATAAAGAAGCAGTCTGAGAATAAAACCATTCTATTTGGAACCTGGGGGCCCACTGCTGACATTTAAAACAAGCTTCATTAGAGTGCTGTGTAAAAATCAGATTGCTGAATAGGGGTTAACAGGTTATAGGGCAATGGCTATCTTGGGTTTCTCCAAGAAGACTGGCAGTGAAGAAGGCTGGAGAAACCAGCAGGTTCAGAGGGAGTTGTTTTTTTTTTTTTTTTTTTTTT